TATATGTATATGATTATAATACATTGGACGTTTGAAATGGTGTAAGTTGCATACATTGGTTGATTAAGTTAATGTAGTGTTGTCTCTAAATTTAACTACAGTTGAATTAATTAATTGAATAATGATATAAAAGTGCTGTCAAAAAAATAAAAGCCTACCCTCAATCTGTTTGGGGGTTTTGCACATTAGAAGTCTTTATCGTGTTCTAAAATGATTCAAATCAAAACTTAGGTGAACAAAAAAAAAAAAAAAAAATTCCACAATGTCCTTGTTTATTAATTAAATACTGAAACCAAAATTGAAGTGCTGTGTATGACAACCGTAAGACAACCCTGTGATTCAGCAACGTGTAGAAGCTCCTGTAGCAGCAACAGTTCTCAGTGGTGGTTCAGTGTAGGACGTTTCCAGCTTCTCACGCGGCTGAGGACGTTCTGCCCACTCTTCTTTACAACATGGCTTCAGTTCATTGAGGTTTGCAGGTGTTTGTTTCTGCTCAGCTCAAGGCCCCACCATATAATGTCAATCAGGTTGAGGTCTGGATGCTGAACTATTCCTCACCTTGATTCTTTTCTTTTTTTTAGCTGTTCTCTTGTAGATTTGCTACTGTGATCCTAGTTTACAGGTGTCCAAGTCCTGCAAAACAAGCCCAAATCAAATCAGCCTGAAGAGCTGGTATGAGGTGTTCTGCTAGTATGCACTGAATCCTTTTCTTTCTTTTTGTTAAAGTGCCACAATGCATTGTGGGTAATCACATCCACCATGGTCTCATCTGTCCAAAAGACATTGTTCCAAAAGTTCTGTGGTTCATTCAGATACAATTTTACAATCTAAAAATCATGCTGCCATGTTCTTTTTGGTGGTGGTGGTGGTGGGGGGGTGTTCCTCCTGCAACCCACCCAAACAAGTCTTTTTCTAATTGTCCCGTCAAGAACTTTAAACTCCACTTATTTAACCGAGTCTAAGCTGGAGCTCTTGGGTTTTCTGGCCATCGCACTGTCTGACTTTGGGGTGAATTTACCGGCACATCTACTCTTGAGAAGACTGGCTGCCGTCTTAAAATGTTTTCCGCTTGTGCGTAATCGTTCTCCTTAGAACACGATGAACTTCAAGTTGCTTGGACAGACCTTTAACCTTCTGCAGGCCAGCAGAGGTAAATGCTGATCTCTTTGCTCCTTAAGTCTTACCACACACCGATATAAGCAGAAAGCGCCAACGCTCCCGCCTTTATAGAGGTGTTCCCACTGACAGTGATAATCTAATCAAGTGCGTTCGATCAGCAGCAGCTGGCTGCTACTGAAAGCTCTGAACGCAGAACTTTGCATCTCGTCTCTCTTTTTGTTTAATATTTGCATCGTGGAATGTGTTGTGTGTTTTTGATACAATTAAGGTTACATTTGAATCCAACATAGTTAAGTCAGGTCATCTGGAGGGTTTCTTTTTTTGTTGTTGTTGAAACGTTTCATCCTTCATCCACAGGACTTCATCAGTCCGAGGAGCCACAACAAACTCAGTCGTACAAGCAGCACACTCACATAGTGGACCAACCAGTTTGCTGGTGACAAGATGGTTCCTGGAGCCCACCCTCTCCCTTGTCGGCTCCTCTGAGGCTGCCATAGTCAAAGTGGCTTAAAACATCAAAGTTCATGCTCAATAATCCAGATGGATTTGTTGGATTTTTTTTTTTTACCTGGATTATTGAGCATGAATTTAGATGTTAATCATTTTAATTTTGGTAAGGACCAGAACAACGTTTTAATTGGTCAATACTGCAAATTTTACAAAAGCATCATCCACTAAACATCTTGACCCGAGTTTACCTAAAAGCAATTGACAGATTAAAGGGGTTGCTGTTATCCATTGGTACACGTCTCCCCACGTGTGTTCAGCACCCACTGTAGGGGGGTGGGGGGGTCCAAGCACCATAGTCTCCTCTATGTTTTAGGAGTTTCAAGTGAGGCTGAACAGCATCTCTTCATACTCTGACCGGTCTGCTCCTCCACGAGCTAATATTTGAAGTTGATGTTGACAAGACAACACCCAAGAGTTGCATAACTTCAGGATAACCAGAGAAAGAAGAGGCGATCCAGCTGCAGCAACATGAGCGGGGGGAGCCCCAGAACCACAGCACGACCAACTCTTATCACCTGGTCCTGAGCACCAGAACCGCTCCAGCCCGGGAAACACCGCTAACAGCCGGTCACGTTAAAACTGACCTGTTCTTCAAAGGTTGACTCTTCAACTCGTAGTAGGTTTTGGGCTCGTTTTGAAAATCCTCTCCGACGTCGAAGTCCGGAACTATTCCCGACTCGGACTGCATGTTTGGAAGGTGTCAACTTAAATAAAATACAATAAAATAAAAACTACAGCCCTTAAGAGAAAGAGTGGGACGATGTTTGTGCCTCGGTGCTTGACTGAACCAACTGTCACCGCCAGCCGCCTCTCTGTCCAGGACCCGGAGCTCTGTAGTCCAGCGCAGCCAGCGGGGACACCGAGGAAACCGGGCGGAGTGCCGCGTGAGAACTACGAGTCCCAGCATGCACCGAGGCTGAAAACGTCAACACGGATCTGATTGGCTGAAACTTCCCAATGGATATACATCATTTATTTTCACAAAGAAAAAAAAACAAAAACACTTATTAAAAGGTAATTTCCTTCACGCTGTAAATAAAATCATTATTTAGCTTTAGTATTCTTATAATTAGATATGAATCGATTTATATTAAAAGGCTGCAGCAATACATTATTATATTATACTTTATCATAATTCAGTTAATCTCAGTGTTACTCTGTGCAATAACATGTTACACAACCTAGTTTATGTTACATCATGTGCATTTAAACTAATATTACTACCTGTGAAATACTTACACATTCAAATTAATTCTACTTGCACCATTATATTCTACCATGTTGTTGTTTAGTATATTTCTCTTGGACCTTGTAAATATTATATTTCCTTTTCAGCTTTTTGGTATTTCATTTTGTACCCTTATTGCATGCTTTATTTATTTATTTACTTATTTATTTATTTATTTTAGTGAGTCAAATCGGTTCTTCTCATCCTGAACATTTATTTCATTGCACCGATGACCTCGTGTTAACCTGTATATGACAAATAAACAACATAACGTTTTATATTACATCTTTGTCACACTCAAAACAATTAAGTAAAATATGAAAATAAATGGAAAATAAAATGGGGGGGGGGGGGACATGAAAATAAAATGACTGGATAGATTATTTATTGTAATCTAATGTATAAAAAAATGTATGACTAATAATCATTTTCAGTTTGAGTAAATAGCCTATTTTTAATTAAAGTCCGAGCTTTCCTTAGAGGAATGCATATCCTCCACTATCTCTCATGCCAGAGTTTTATACTGAGATCATTGTGTGACTTAATCTCATATTATGAGATGTCAATCTCAAATGATGTGTTGAGGATGACTCTCAGCTTCCACAGCAAATGTTAGCTCAATATCTGTAAAAGTGTGTGAGTCATAACCATTTTTGTGTTGCCTTATGTTGATTATCTGTGGCGGACATCTGCAATGACTTCTCATAATCAGTTATAGTTGTACATTCAGTGATTACTTTCTGAAAATTTCATTATCAATCCCAAAGTTTGAGATATTTCGCTTTAAAAAAATCACTTGCACAAACATGCTCAAAAACAGGCGAAATCATTATTGCCTGATAGTCTGCTTTCAGCAGCCGGTGATGATGAGAGAATCAATATAATGCAAGGTCAGGTGTAATAAATAGGTTGTCAAGCGGAGGATGGTTGTGTAAACTAACACTGGAAATCATTTTAAACTCAGAAGGAGGAATCTGCCGCTGATTATGTGTTCAGTCATTAAAAGGATTAGAGATGACATCATAAGAACATTCTGAGGACACTGGATTTAAGGAATGCTACAGTCACTCAAAACATGCGTCATTTAGACAAGGTCAGATTTTATTACACACAAACTTAAATCATGCATCTAGTTTGTGAAAGGACCCTGACGTCACATTCAATCAGACTTGTAAACTCTGTCAACCCTCATGTGCATTATATTATGTCTTCTCTCCAGCCATCATTGCCTCCCTGAGCATCTTACTTGGACACTTCTTCCACTGGAGGGCAGTAGAGAGCTAAACAAAATGCATTATTGGCGTTCAGGGTGACAAGAGGCAAAATGAAAATTTAGTGGAAACTTAATTTTTGCATTCTCAACCTGCTAAACTGGTTTGAAGTTTGGATTTTACCCATGCAAAATAAATGAAAATATGCATCAACTGGCAATTTAAAAAAACAAACAAACTGAAAACATGTAAAATAATGTTGTAAAACTTACAGAAATACAAAGTATGATGCCTGAGCAACACATGCTGAGAGTGAGAGACCAAAGAAACAAATCTCACCAAGAGTCAGAGCAGGAGATGAGATGTGAGGATGTGGTTAGAGCAGTCGTCCTCCAATGCGAGAGTTGGGGGTTCAAATCCACCAGCAGTCACATGTCAGTGTGTCCCTGGGCAAGACACTGAACCCCTCTGATGTGTGTCCAATCAGTGTATGAATGTGATCTAAAGCTCTGATTAGTCTCTTTAGAATGATTTGTTCAATTCTCTTTGTAGAGATCTAGTAGAGTGCTGTATGAATGGGTAAATGAGGCACAGATTGTAGTTTAAAGCGCTTTGAGTATCTTGAAATAAGATAGAAAGGCGCTGTATAAGTACAGTCCATTTACATTTCTCACCACTGCCTTCTTCTCTTGCTGGTCGACCATCACAATGTCCAGTTAGTTAGCCATGACTTGTTTGTCAGTCTGGATCTGGAAGTCCCACAGCATTTGAACCGTATGATTCTCCACCACTTGGTGGCATCTCCCACTTTGACTGTGGGACCTCCAGTCCACACACAGCACAGATGTTCCTGTATATTATTCCAGCCACTTGCTTATGGTGCTCCATGTATGCTTTGCCTGCCTGGATCTCACATTCTGTAATTGATATGCTGGATTGTCTCTGAGGCAGTTTTGCACAACCTGTATCTTGGGTCTTGTTCGTTACTGTAGATCCCAGTTTTTAGAGATGTTGTGCTGCCATGATCAGTGTCTGTGTTGTCCTTCAGTCCAGCCTTCTAGCCACTTGCCACAACAGGAATGTAGGGCTCAAAAACACACTCATGGTCTGTGCCACAAGAACGTTTGTAAATGTACCGGTCTCTACCTGACTGAAAGCAGGTGCATAATTACAAAGCCTACCACATGATTGTTTGCTCAGAGATGTGCAGATTACTATTATAAGCAGCAGCAGCCTCAGAACAAACACAAGCTGTGCACAACATGAAATGTAGGACACCAACGAATGAGAAATGATTCCGCTCAGGTGAGAGCAAACATTTGGCTTTCATTTGACAGGTTTCATATGAACAACAGTGGCCTTCAGTCTTTTAGGCTCATCAACTCTGGAGTCACAATAAAATGGAGAAAAATGCTTTTTTTTATGCTTCAAGACGCTATACTGACTTCAATTCATGTGAGCCACTTTATGTTGTGCATAGTGCATGAATTTATCAGGAAATCTAGATTGCATCCTTAACCAAAATCCAATTCCTTTATTACTTTCAATTTTCATTACATGTATCCTGGACGGCATTGGATCCTATAATCTCTATTAATTTATTTTAGCATTTGTCATCCTTATAGTAAGTCTAGCTCTAATTTTAGGCTCTTGCTTGCTGGTTTTATGATGAGTGGATTTAGGGTACAGAGCTCACTGAGGGCAGCTTCCTCTTCTGGGTTTTGATAAGGGTCCAATCAGGAAACCATCAGGATTCAGTTTGAGCTTGAGTCAAGCATGCACATTCTTCATTTCCATACCCCACTTTGGGCATCTATTGAGTGGCAGGAGGTCCTAGCTTTCATCTAAATCTGCCTTACCAGAACCTAACCCATAACCCAGAAAATAAGTTTTAGGACCAGGCTTTGGTCCCCAAACGGACAGGTACTGACAATTATCCAAGGATAGGTCCTGAAAGGTGATAAAAACAAACACCTTTATGACAAACAATTGATTTTTCATATCCTGATGTATGCTCAAGTGGTTCAAAATAAAATTGATTATATAATAAAATTGATAGAATTGATTTTTCAGTTTGCTTAAGGTGAAATATGCAGTCAAACTTGTGTTTTGTCTTATATTGACTTGGATGTTATATGAAGGTTTAGCTTTTATTTTTAACTTGTAAGCTTTTTTCTCCACCAGTAGACGTACTGGCACTGCCCAGTTAGGGACGATATATGCAGCTTCTGTTGTTCTGGAGGGTGTAGGTGTATTTACACAAAGCATCTGTCTGCCAGAATTTGACTTGTGTTTAAATGAAGACTAGCTGCCTTCACAGTCCACTGTGCATGATAAAAACTCAAGTGCATGTCTCAGATTACACTGCTGCAGCTGCACGGGCGCTTTGTTGCCATATCAAGCCTTGTCCCTGTTTTTTTTTCGTTCTGGACATTTGTTTGGGACTCCTCATGCAAATTTTTTTTTTAGATCATGTTAGAAGCACAGTGGAATAGTGGTTAGTGTTAGCAATGCTGCAGGGTCACCTCCTGGTCTTTCTGTGTGGAGTGTGCATGTTCTCCCCGTGCATTCGTGGGTTGTTACAAACATGAATTACAGTAAAATAATTAACATCTGGAAGTAGTCTCTAGGATTAGATGAGAGTGCAAATGGTTGTTTGTCTCGTTTGTCTGTATGTGTCTCTGTGATGGATATGAGACATGTCCAGGGTGTCCTTCGCCTCTCACATAGTGATTGATGGAGTTAAGTACCACTTCAAAAACTGTTTCTATTAGACTGTCTTATGTCACACATTTTAAATTAAAATACCACTCATTATGGGTGGAAAGGATGTTCCTTATGAAGGTAGCTGGTGTAATGAGAGCTGTTTTCCTCTTTTCTAGTAAGGAGCAGACTTACTAGATGGTTTTAGGGGTGGATCCTAACAAGATGCCTATTCATGAATGATGTCAGATGTGCAGGAACAGAGAGGGGCGGGGCTTCAGGAGAAGCCTGTTACTGCTGGTAAGCTCCAGCTTGTCAATGAGATTCTGCTGTAAAACTATTTCTTGCCCTCCGCCAAAACAAAAAGCCCAGCATTGTTTCTTATAAACTGCTGAACAGATTTGATTGAAACTTTCAAACAATAGGTATTGGATATACCATTAAAAATGACTGGAACCAATCCAATTCAACATGGCTGCTACAGCCAATCGACCTCCAAAACACAAAAACAGCTACAGTTCCATGAGTTTTACAGATATTGTGCTACGATTTTGTGTTCTAGCAGAAGAGTCTTTCACAAAACAAATTCTAAGCAATCTTTGCCTAAAAAATTTAATATAATCAACATGTGGAGTCAACATGTGGTCTGTCTGTTAGCAAAATAGCTCCCAACCCACTGGGCAGATTTTAAAGAAACTTTCAGAAAGTAATCAGTGGATGCACATATGCTATAAATGGCAAACTATTAAAGTCAATTCACTTCAAGATGGCTGCCACAGCTAATCAACACCAGCAATACAAAAATTATTGTAACTCAGTCAGTTTGACATTGAACTGAAGTTTGATGTGGTAGTAGCTGAGAGTCATTCACAACACACATTCTGAGTGGTGACATCTCACGATGCAGGAGATCACACGTAAAATATTTCCAGTGTTTGGACAAAGCAGAAGAAGATCATAGTCTAAAAGTCTAGTGGGAAACTTGGTGGATGATAAGCATTTCTTCAAAAATGCTTGGCCTTTTTCCCTCAGTGTTTTTATTTTATTTTATTTTTATATTAAATAAAAAAAACGTATTTGTGCATTAAGGCCCTGTGATGAACTGGACACTTGTCCAGGGTGTTGTCCCCCATCTCCCCCACAGTGATAGCTGGATATGGGCACCAGTGACCTGAAAAGAAAGAAGCGGGAAAAGATAATGGATGGATGGATTTGTTCATTAGAGCAGCTGAACTAAAGTTACTTTAGGACTTGCGTAGGACTGTGGCGTCTCTCTTTCCTTTTGGAAGATTACCTGCTGAGCCAGCGCTCAGACCATAATGAATATTTCAGTGAGCGCTGTCACTCCTGAGCAGGAACATACGTCACATGTGAAACCCACACTGGTGATCAGGTTCAGAGTTGTTTTCATGATGCGTCAGGAGATGTAAAAGGATGAAAGTACAGCACAGCAGGCACGATCATCAAATGAGAGCCACCAAATGGTCTTTATGCTTGCTCTGTATAAATCTGCACCAAGTCTGTGTATCTTCATTTTTTATTTTGTAAACGGTGTCTGACTCACATTTCAATCAGGTCAACTTGTTCTGCAGGCAGAGCCAAAACATGCTTCAAATATGGAACTAAAATAAAGTTCCAGAGTCCAGAACATCCATCAAATGATGCGACTCGGCACCACGTCTGAAAGTTCATCGCTGAATCATGCTGGTGATGATTAACACAACTACTAGTAATACAATCAGACATTTAAAACACCAGCTTCTTGTTTCGTTGCCTTTTTAACAGGAAACTGTTTAACTTGCTAAATTCATCTGTTGCTCATATTTTTCATCACTTGTTGCCTTCAGTCTGCGTGTTATAATCCACAGTATTGGTGAAAATGATGATGTAAAAAAAAAACCCCATCTAAAACCAAGATGGGTTGACTGACTTGACTTTATGATTATATTTTAAAACAGCCATGTACACCATATCAATGTTGCACTTTTCTTTTTGTTTAACTGGATCCACTTGATTGAATCTGCATTAAAACCTGTGATGTTGTGTAAACAAGTTCTGACGTTTTACATAAAAGATGGCACCAAAATACAAAATACGTATAGAGACTGTCAAACAGCAGCTTCATTGTTGTTTAACATCGTGTGTGAATCCTTGTGTGCAGATAAATAAAGAAATAAAGAAACTAAAAGTGAATTAGAGAAAATGCAAGCAGCTTTAGAATAAAGAAATATTCAAGAATAAAATATATATATATATTTCAAAGACATTTAATGGTTTCAAACCAAACTGAAAGGATCCCTGAAATCTAACAGGAGAGTCTGATTTACTGTAAGCCCCCAGGCAAGTGCAAACATTTGCTTATTCTTTCCTCTCTTTTTTTTTTTCTAAATAATTTTAATATGAGGAGCTCAAGAGAAGTTGTTGCTATGGTAACAGCTGAGACGGAGCCAATGAAGTGCTCTGCAGATAAACTCAGGTAAACTCTTCATGGTGACATAACCTCGTCGTTATTACTATTTGAATTACATGCAGCAGGGGTGAAAGTTGCAGCAGAGCTGGACAACGAACCTGAACTGGAAGCAGTTTTGATGTGAAGCTGAGGACAGAGGCGCAGCATCAGCAGCAGACAGCCTGCAGGCCATCAGGCGTCATTATTGTCGGGATGCGGCGTGAACCAGGCCGGCCGGCAGCTGCTGGGTGGGAGGGGGGGGGGGAGGGGGGGAGATAGGCTGAGGGAGGAGGGTAGGGTGTGTGCGTGTGTGTGGAGCGGGGGGTGGGTGCAGAGCTTGTTCTCATAATAGCCGGCGGCGGCTGAAGGCGTGGTGAGTGCGCGCTCCGGTAGTAACCGGATGATGAGCTCGGGCAGCGGCTCTCCTCCGCGGACAAAGCTGAACCCGGGGCGGATCAACATGCCGGAGAAGCTCTGCCTTTGTCATCGCCTCGGGAGCCGGGATACAGCCTGAAAGGAGTGCCAAGGTAAGGTTGATGCGCGATGGGTCCGACCCGCCTCAGACTGTACTGTCACACAAAGTCTGAGCAGTGGTGCGTGCGTGCGTGGGATCAAAAGGTTCCGGAGGAAATTACAACTGCATCCACGAGCGCGCGTGATGTTCCCAACCTGACTCAAACAAGAGGAGTGCTTTTGTTTGACATGTGGGGCTCAGGTGCACCCACCCATACAGTAACCTACAGTAGCACCCTCATTGTTCTCCCTGCACAGTGGCCCTGTGGATTCCTCTCATCACCGCTGATTTCAGCTGATAAGTGTTTGGTAGGATTCTTGGAAATATTTTCATTTGATAAAATAAGCTACACTGGTGTGAATGAGTCATGCAGCATCATGGGTTGGTTCAGGAAGTGTTGCTGAATGTTAACAATCCTCACTGAAACATCCAGCAAACCCCGCCTGTTGAAATGGTTTTATTTTATGGCAGCTTTCGTCCTGATCTAATATTCAGCCCTTTATCATTTATTATTCATTTATTTATCATATTTAGTCAGGATTTACCAGGACATTAAAGTGATAGTTCAGACAATCTAAAGTTGGACTCATGAACAAACAGTATCTTACCTGCGGTAGATGGCTCATCCTCTGTTTGGAAAAACTGAGTTTAGGTTTAACCAAACCAATGAGCTAAAGGCGGCATCTCGTTGGTGTCTAGCTGGAGACTGATGATTGCGATAAAACTGGCGAATCTTTAGTAGCAGTCTTACAGAATTTTGGGTGTTCGTGACCAAGTGACGAGCGAGTCGTGGGGCCACATTTGAACAAACAGTTAAAAAAAAATCAGGGCTTACATTTGTGTGCATTGTTTGCAAAAATTAATTCTTGGCCGTGTGCATTGCTTTGTTGCTCACTTCCACCTAGGTCTGTCACGATAACAAATTTTGATGGGTGATTAATTGTCTTATTGCGATAAACGATAATATTGTTTGAAATTTGACAATAATTAGTAAGTATTGTCGACTTTAAGGGGAAATGTTTGTTTATTTGTTTTGCGTGTACAGTAGTACCTTTTTTCAACCACCGGATGGCAATATAAGACTGAACCGAAGGATGGATAGTGAGGGAGCGAGCAGCATGTCTAAGAAAAATGGGAGGAAAGCTCCTTGACGTGACACGGGCTGTTTTTCTTTGGCTCTCAAAATGGCGGACGCTCGGTGTGGTTTGAGCTCTTCAGCATAGCATTTTTCACGCAAAGCTTCTAATTACAAAATCAGTAAACAAGTTCTCAGCTTCTTTTTGCAGAGAAAAACTTTTTACACTAAGGCACGGGTTTCAAACGTGAATTTTTGAAGCTTCGACCAGACGGCGCTTAGCTTAACCCGTAGCTTAGCTTCTCAGCTTAGCTGCTTTTAACCATCCAAAACCACGATTTTGGTTGGACGATAAAAATGGATTTTAATGAGAAAAGAGAAAGGGGGGGGGGGGGGGGGGTTCAGTGAAGAACAATAAAGTGATTAATTGATTTATTGTTTATTGTGGCAGGCCTACTTCCACCCACATTGTACTTGAACTGTCCAGCTTTGTACGCACCTTGGCAACCGTCCCAATGACTCAATCTGCCGGAGTACACGTTTGAAATGAAGATGGGCGGATTTGAATGAGTTTTTCAGAAGTTTCATCATCAACGTGGTATTTACATCTGAACATTTGCCTAAGATGTGTTCTATCAAAGAAAATCTCCCATGCTGGTATCAAAACACATCGGGATGGGTTGAAGATGCTCGTAACAGAATTGACCTATACAGTTATTAATGAGAATGCTCAATGTTTATCTTTTGCAATGCATTGTGGTCTAGATTTTTCTGAGAACCCCCATAGACATTTCAAGACTTTTTGGAGCCTCTCCTGCATATGTTGTTTGACAACTAGTGGCCAACAGTTGCAGCCCAGTGTCTCCAAGTGGACACAAAATTGCAAGACAGTGTGTAAACTTTGAATTGGAATTACTGTGAACATGTTTGTACCAACTCCTGGCAGCTATTGGGCCAAAATTCACCAGAACTTATCATACGTATCGTGGAATTACAAGAACTAAATTGAGACGGAAATGGATCGTCTGAACATTGCTAAGACTAACAGGGACTGCTGACACCTTAAAACAACTCCAATCTCAAAAATGCCATTGTGTTTCCTGCAAAGTTATCATATAAACAGTTTTTAATTTGGCTTTTGTTATTCAGATGGAGTTCTACAACTGTTTGTAAGCAGAAATAGTTCTACTAGCAACTAGCTGTAGCACCTTCAGTGCAACCTTGGGGGCTTCCAGGAGAAATTTCCCATTTCCAATAAAAATAATGGTGTACTGCAAAAGTGATGATGGTGTAAAGATTTAAATATTAATATAATAATAATAATAATTCTTTGAAATCGCCCAGAGGACATGACTTAACTTTGTTAGATTTTTCTTCCTGGATAATTGAGCATGCATCAGGATATTTAAATATTAGGATTTGCATGAGAATCCTTGCTTTTCCGTTGTGATAAAGAAAGAGCCGAGCTGCAAAGTGAAACTCTCTGTTTACTAGTCGGTCTATGTTCCTACCTCCTATGTTCCTTTGGTCACAAACTTTGGATTGTCAACGTAAGATCAAGATTGCGGATACAAGTGATCAAATCAAGTTTTCTCCGAAGGGTGGCAGGACTAGAGATATGATGAAAAGTTCATTTATCTAGGTGGGACTAGATTAGTAGATCTGCTGCTCCTCCACATTGAGAGGAGCCGGTTGAGGTGGTTCGGGCGTCTGATAAGGATGCTCCCTGGATACCTCATAAGGAGGTTTTCCAGTCATGTCTAACTGGGAGGAGACCCCAGGGGAAACCCAGAACACACCAGAGAGACTATGTCTCTTGGCTGGCCTGGAAATCCTGGAGATCCTTCCTGCCTTCAGCCATCAGCATCTATAACATCTCTGAATGAAATGAGGATAACAAGTTACAGCAACAAATAATTTCCCTCTGGGATTAATAAAGGATTTTTGAATTGAATTGAATTGAATTGAATGCCTTGAAGTTCATCGAGAAAGGCTGGAAGAGGTGGCTGTGGACAGAGATGTCTGGACCTCCCTGCTTAAGTGACTGTCTCCATGACCTGAATCCAGAACAAGGAGGAGATAATGGATGGATGGATGGATGGATGGATGGATGAACTATGAAATCTTTTAGATTGGTGTAGTTTTCAGATGGCTAAATCTGCTTTGGTAGTGGGATTTTTCACGTCATATTCACAAGCTAAAGAAAGGGAGTGGTGGCACAGTGGTTAGAGAAGGTGGGCCTGTGATCAGAAGGCCGCTGGTTCAACTCCCGGTACCGACAACATAACAATGTGGGTGGAGTAGGTTAAGCACCCACGCTTGCCTCCACCCTCATTTGCCTCACTCTGGCCCTTAACCCCCACCATCTGCCCCCCTGGGCATCCTAGATGGCAGCTATCTGCTCCACACAGAGGGCTGTGGTAGCTCGGTGGTCTGTGGTTACGTCAGGAAGGACATTGGCGTAAAAAATAACTGCCAAGTCTTCGTGCGACTTAGTTCGCTGTGGCGACGCCTAAAGAAGGGAGCAGCCGAAAGAAGAAAAAAAAAATTCACAAGCTAAAAGCTAGCCTAAGACGATTGCTGAAATTTTTACCATGAACTGCAATTTTTTTTTTCTTTAGATATTTTAGGCACTCCACTTTGTCTGCTACTCTCAGACTAGCCGTTAGCTCATCACTCAGGTCAAATTTATGCATTTATTTCCCAACTTGAGGTTGTTCAAAGAGCTTTTTGCAACAGGTAAGATATTACCTGTTGATACATTTTTTTTACAGACCCCGCCTCAAAATGTATAAACATTTCACATACTATGCACATTTATCTGTAAAGTATTATTATTATTTTTTAATTATTCATTCTTTATCACAAGTTTTGCTTTAAAAGGACAAAAACAAGGAGAATTGGGAGCTGCTGAGGCTGACGTTGACCTTCTGCAGTTATCTCAGAGCTGATGGAGGAGACATGAGTGGGTGTATTTTAAGCATCAAACCGTGTAAACAGGAATCGCTGTGTGACGGTTGTGTCTGCACCACAAACATGTCCAGCGTGAAACTTTACGGCTCTTCCTATTTGTTGGACAGGATGTCCTGTGTCATTTGTCTCCTCAGCTGACATCCCATGGGCAAACATAAAAAAAAAAGACAAAGCGTTAATAAAGAACAACTTTGCTTTAAATTCACATTTTCAATACATTCAGTCTAAGATGCTTCTACTATAAATGTGCTTCATGGTGCTGAGAAATGTTCCAGCACTGAGTTAGAAACTTTCCATTGAGCAACCGAAGCCTCCGGAGGTTGGATGAAAATAACAGCTAAGGACAGAGAGGAAATGATTTCTATTTGGATGTGCAAATAATCTTATATTGCATACTTGTGTGAGGGAGCAAATCTGATTACTCTAATAATGTGAAATGTGATAGCAGGGCAGCATGAAACAGGTTAGTGGATCTGGGGTTAGATAAGTCTCAATCATGTGCAATGTGCTGAAAAATATTGCTGATCAGTCATTTTCTAAATGCCATTCAAGCCTTCAGTGAAGATAAGGACATTATCTCCAACATGGTGATATTTCAGACTAACAGGTGATGGTGCTCACATGTGCGTTTATTCCTCATCCATAACATAATTTAGCCATTTTCTGTTTTTATTTTATTTTATATCTGCTCCAGCTTGGTTCTGCCTCCCTGAGCTCTGCAGAAACTCACTGCAGCACTTTGAAGTGAAACTCTGCAGCTGCACATTTCCACTGGTGACAGCTTTAAATCCGTAATAATGAGGGAAACGTGGCAAAGCTCTCCAAAACTGGAAGCATGCACAGATTATAGAGTCGTTTCTCCATCCTGTGTCTTTTCAAGCGCTTTACCTCTGCACTGTATACTGCTGCATTCAAAGATCGATCCAGCTTACTTTGAATGTTCAGACTGAGATTAGAGATTGAGA